TGCTTCTGTACAGGAGTCGGCTTGACATATCCAGATCTGCTGACATTTTTGGATAAAGAGTCGCACAGGGCAGCCTCCTCAAATGTCTAAACACAGTAAACATGCAGTGGCGTCAGGAGGGTGGGGGCAGGGGGGCAGATTTGTAGCTCTTATGCATAATTTCAGTCTAGACATACTGCATTTGATCATACCATTATTGCCTGTGGCGGGTTGGTTCCACTGACGTTCACCAGTATGTCGTCATACTTGTCAAAATTGATTCCAGTCTCATAGTGAGCAAAAACTGAGTTTTCATCCTCAGCGAGGGCTGGAGGGATATAACTGACTTTTGGCTCTGTGGGTCAGAGCAGGAGGAAAGAGTAAGCTGAGGAACAATCCCACTGCAGAACTGGTTACAGTACAGTGAACAGATCTACTTACTGTCAGCACTGCCTTCATCCCTCTGTTTTAATTCTTTGTTTTCTTTCTCTGCATCAAACAAAGTCTCTTCAGTAAAATAAATGGTACTAAGGTTAAACCATCAAAACATTTTTGTACAAATACTTGACATACAACCTTGAAAAAAGTTATTTTCGCCCTTTCCACGGTAACCTGCCGTTACACAAATGCCATGGATTAATACAAGCTACTTGTCTCCTGAAACATCACTGGTTATCATCGTCACTTTTATATGGATCACAGGGGCAAAAAAAGTGTTTTTGTACCTCCTCTAAAGCCTCCTCTACCTCTTTGTTCTCCGTCTGCAATAAATTATTACCCATTAATCATAATAGGCTGAACAACACAAAATAAATATCTTTGCACATTGACAAAATATTTTTTAAAAAACATGTTATTATATCTTATTACCTTCTCTGAAGCCTCCCCTGGAGCCTCCTTCAGTGCCTGCAGCAAAATGGTCAACATCACTGACTGGCACCAATGAGGGATGTGGTTATTTCTGACATATTCCTATTATGAACACATATCATTACACAAAGTGAAAAAAAAATGGTAGTTCATACCACGTCTGAAGCCTCTTCCTCTTCCTCCTCGGCCACCATGACCTCCTCGGCTTACTCCTCTGAACTCTGTTCACATCATCCAGCACTGTTATTATCACTTAGCAATATCAAACAGAATATATTAATATAAAGATAGTCCATAACACTTGCCGCTTTCACAAAATCCATTGCTGTCTCCTGTGAAAAAAAATAAAGAGTAGAATAAGTTCAGTGCAGCAGGCTATTTGAATGTACATTAAGGAAGTAGGAACCATGAACATACCATTGAAATCACTTCTGTTCTCTCTCCCAAATCCTCTGCCGCGTCCTGACAAATAAACATAGAATTGAAGAAATGAATGAATGACACAATCTTGAGGATTTACTACACAGGGAATTCTTAAAAAATAACACTGAATAATTTCAATTTCACAGGGAGTCACACAGCATATTTGAGAGTGAAACATTTTGAATAAGGTTTCTAGCTTCACACAATTTGTCTTGTTTCTTGTATTCCTTTTTGTTGAAAGCTAAAGGGACGTCATTGTAAACACTGGTGTGGTGTATCCTTGAATTGTGTCTTTAATGGTGAGTGTGCCGATTGTGTGAATTATTGACAGGGTCCAACAATGAGCTCAGTACGGATTTCAGGAAAGGGAGCTACATAGTTCGCCTTAAATGTCCCTTGAAGCAGGTGACGGATTATTCTCACCTCTTCCTCTAATACCACCTTGTTGTCCTTCTGTGTTCTTGAAGAATTCCCAATCTGCTTGTGACAAATCAGAGGGTCAGTGGGGTAATGACTTTTTACATTTAAGCCTTCATTGTGTCATCGTTAAACGGATTAAGGGACACGATAGTTATGATATGATAGTTTGCAACTAGTTCTAACATATGGAAAACAAACCAGACATGTACTGTGTGGCAGAACATCAAAACTTAATTAAGTAA